TCACCCAAAAAATCCCAAAAATCCCAGAAATTCCCCCCAAAAAATCCCAAAAATTCCACCCAAAATTCCCGAAAATCCCCGAAATTCCACCCAAAAAATCCCAAAAATCCCGGAATTCCCCCGGGATTCCCCCGGAAGGTTCCGGAAGGCGCCCGGGGCGGGAATTCGGGACCCCCCGGAATTCTGGGATTTTTGGGATTCCTGGGATTTTTTGGGGTGGAATTTCCGGGATTTTTGGGATTTCTGGGAGGTTTTGGGTGAAATTTCTGGGATTTCTGGGATTTTTTTGGGTGGAATTTTGGGGATTTTTGGGATTTTTGGGGGGGATTTTGGGAATTTTTGGGATTTTTTTGGGGGGAATTTCTGGGATTTTTGGGATTTCTGGGATTTTTTGGGTGGAATTTTGGGGATTTTTGGGATTTTTTGGGGGGGATTTTGGGAATTTCTGGGATTTTTGGGGGGGGATTTTGGGGATTTTTGGGATTTTTGGGTGGAATTTCGGGAATTTCTGGGATTTTTGGGGGGATTTTTGGGATTTTTGGGATTTTTGGGATTTTTGGGATTTTTTGGGTGAAATTTTGGGGATTTTTGGGGTTTTTTGGGGGGGATTTTGGGGATTTTTGGGTGGAATTTCGGGGATTTTTGGGATTTTTTTGGGTGGAATTTCTGGGATTTTGGGGATTTTTGGGGGGAATTTCTGGGATTTTTGGGATTTCTGGGATTTTTTGGGTGGAATTTCTGGGATTTTTGGGATTTTTTGGGGTGGAATTTTGGGGATTTTTGGGATTTTTGGGGGGGGATTTTGGGGATTTTTGGAATTTTTGGGATTTTGGGGTGGAATTTCTGGGATTTTGGGGATTTCTGGGATTTTTGGGAGGGGAATTTCTGGAATTTTTGGGTGAAATTTCTGGGATTTTTGGGATTTCTTGGATTTTTGGGAGGGGAATTTCTGGGATTTTTTGGGGATTTCTGGGAGGTTTTGGGGAGGAGTTTTGGGGATTTTTGGGATTTCTGGGATTTTTTGGGTGAAATTTCTGGGATTTTTGGGATTTCTGGGATTTTTTGAGGGGAATTTTGGGGATTTTTGGGGTTTCTGGGAGGTTTTGGGTGAAATTTCTGGAATTTTTGGGATTTCTGGGATTTTTTTGGGTGGAATTTCTGGGATTTTGGGGATTTTTGGGGGGAATTTCTGGGATTTTTGGGATTTCTGGGATTTTTTGGGGGGAATTTCCAGGATTTTTGGGGTTTCTGGGATGGTTTTGGGTGAAATTTCTGGGATTTTGGGGATTTTTTTGGGTGAAATTTCAGGGATTTTCAGGAATTTTTGGGATTCCTTGGATTTTTTGGGGGGGGAATTTCTGGGATTTTGGGGATTTTTGGGGGGAATTTTGGGGATTTTTGGGATTTCTGGGATTTTTGGGTGGAAATTCTGGGATTTTTAAGATGGTTTGAGGTGGAATTTTGGGGATTTTGGGGTGGAATTTCTGTGATTTTTGGGATTTCTTGGATTTTTTGGATGTTTTGGGTGAAATTTCTGGGATTTTTTGGGATTTTTTGGATGTTTTGGGTGGAATTTTGGGGATTTTTGGGGTTTCTGGGAGGTTTTGGGTGAAATTTCCAGGATTTTTGGGATGTTCAGGGTGGAATTTCTGGGATTCTTGGGTGGATTTTTTGGGGTGGAAATTCTGGGACTTCTGGGGATTTTTTGGGTGGAATTTCAGGGATTTTTGGGATTTCTGGGATTTTTTTGGGGGGAATTTTGGGGATTTTTGGGATTCCTGGGATTTTTTGGGTGGAAATTCTGGGACTTTTGGGGATTTTTTGGGGTGGAATTCTGGGATTTCTGGGATTTTTTGGGTGGAAATTCTGGGACTTTTGGGATTTCTTGGATTTTTTGGGGTGGAATTTCTGGGAATTTTTGGGATTTTTGGGTGAAATTTCTGGGATTTTTGGGATTTCTTGTATTTTTTGGGGAGGAATTTTGGGGATTTTTGGGATTTCTTGGGTGGAATTTTGGGGGTTTTTGGGGTTTCTGGGAGGTTTTGGGTGAAATTTCTGGGATTTTTGGGATTTCTGGGATTTTTTGGGGGGGATTTTGGGAATTTTTGGGATTCCTGGGATTTTCTGGGGGGAATTTTGGGGGTTTCTGGGAGGTTTTGTGTGAAATTCCCGGGATTTCTGGGATGTTCCGGGTGGGATTTTTGGGATTTCTGGGATTTTTTGGGTGGAAATTCTGGGACTTTTGGGGATTTTTTTGGGGTGGAATTCTGGGATTTTTTTGGGTAGAATTTTTGGGATTCCTGGCTGGGAATCCCAGGATCACCGGGAATCCCGGGATCCACCCGCCGTTCCCGGCTGAATCTCCGGGAATCCCGGGATCTTTGGGTATCCCGGGATTTCTGGGAATCCGGGATCTGCGGGAATCCGGGATCTCCAGGATCCAGGCTCCGTTCCCGGTTGTATTTCCGGGATTTCTGGGAATCTGGGATCTCCGGGAATTCCGGGAATCCGGGATCCACCTGCCGTTCCTGGTTGGGTTTCTGGGATCTCCGGGAATTCCGGGATCTCCGGGATCCAGGCTCCGTTCCCGGTTGGGTTTCCGGGATCTCTGGGATTTCCGGGAATTCCGGGATCTCCGGGATCCAGGCTCCGTTCCCGGTTGGGTTTGCGGGATCTCTGGGATCTCGGGAATTCCGGGAATTCTGGGATTTCCGGGATCCAGGCTCCGTTCCCGGTTGGGTTTCCAGGGTCTCCGGGATCTCTGGGATCTCGGGAATTCCGGGAATTCTGGGAATTCTGGGATCCAGGCTCCGTTCCCGGTTGGGTTTGCGGGATCTCTGGGATCTCGGGAATTCCGGGA